TTCGTTTGTACGTGTGTACTGTATCCAAAAACTGCGTTTATTTTGACAGACGATAAGTGCATACAGCCTATGCATTTTCATTTCACAGCCGTGGACACGTGAGCAACCTGCCCACGCGCCAGTTGTGGAGCGCACGCTGCAGACCGTTTTTTTTTTTCCGCAGCACCACTTACTATGCTTGCGCGTATTTGCGTCACTTCTTGTACACTGCATCATTCCTCAGCTTGGCTATACATCCTATGCAACAACGTTGAGTGGATGGGGCTGGGTTGCGCAGGGTTGGGGTGGGGCGACATGTCATACAGTCCAGGGCAGCAGCCCCGACTTCGTACTGCCGGACTCACGTTCAATGCTGAGCCGCGACGACACTCACCAACAAACTGAATGTTCGGTACATTTTTCTCTGTTGCCTTATGTTGGTGTTATGATCCTACTAAGGTGAGTGTCGTCACACCTGGCGGGCGCCTACTTGTACACATGATCGTCCTTGTGCACGTACTACCACATGTCCCGCGGCGCCCGCCAGGTGTCCCTGACCCGAGTCGTACTTGTCCCAACCATTCTGTTGTGTTGGGCCTTCGTTTTGAAGAGAGAGCGCCCCGCGCCCCTCCTCATCTCCTCTCTTCCTGCCCTTCCTCTTCCCCTTTTCGTCCCTCGTCCCTCCTCACATCCGCCTCGTCACCTCTCTGCGTTTCACCCACCCAGTACTGCGTTTCGTGGCCCCATAGGGAGCTCCACCGAAGGCTCCAGTGGCAGGGCCCGCGTGCGTCACCGCCACCCAGGACAGCGTTTCGTGGCCCCAGAGGGAGCCCCACCGAAGGCTCCAGTGGCAGGGTCCGCATGCGTCACCGCCACCCAGGACAGCGTTTCGTGGCCCCATAGGGAACTCCACCGCCTCAGCGCCACCCAGGACAGCGTTTCGTGGCCCCATGAGGAGCTCCACCGAAGGCTCCAGTCCGCATGCGTCACCGCCATCCGCGACAGCGTTTCGTAGCCCCAGAGGGAGCTCCACCGAAGGCTTCAGTGGCAGAGTCCGAGTGCGTCAACGCCACCCAGGACGGCGTTTCGTGGCCCCATAGGGAGCTCCACCGAAGGCTCCAGTGGCAGGGTCCGCATGCGTCCGCGCCACCGATTTCGGTGCACCCCTCGCACGTTTCGTGGCCCCATGGGGAACTCCACCGAAAGCGGTACCCATAATGCGCCACGCGCAAGTGCATATGGTTGGGTCCTTCATCAGGCAAATTTCTTCCCCACCCAAGTGCCACAGCTTCACGCTCAGGTTTGTCGAACGTAGAAAAGAAGAGGTGGAGGAGGTGGAGGAGGAACAGGAGGAGGAGGTGGAGGAGGAGCGTGAGGAAGAGGAGGAGGAGCAGGAGGAGGAGGAGGAGGAGGAGGAGGAGGAGGAGGAGGAGGAGTGATGAAAAGTAATGGGGGAGTGAGTAGGAGGATGAAGGCCGGCTTGCTGCCAGAGGTGCTTCGAGACACGAGCGCCCCTATGGGCCTGCAGTTCCTGCGAGAGCCCTTTTCGGGAGCAGGCCCGCCTTCCACCCCACTTCTATCGACGACGTATACGACGAGTCCCCGCCGCCCCTGGGCCTTGGGAGATGCCTGTATGGTAAAACGTTGAGATGATGAGGACGTCAACGGCGATGATGACGATGCACACTTCTGCGGTCTTGATGGCGATGACGATGGCGATAACGATTGGATGATCATGCTGATGATGATGATGATGATGATGATGATGATGATGATGATGATGATGATGATGATGATGATGATGATGATGATGACGTCTTCGACGAGGACGATGATGATGATGATGATGATGATGATGATGATGATGATGATGATGATCATGAGGATGAGGATGCGGATGGCTAGTATGATGACGATGATGATGATGGCGATGGTGATGGTGGTGGAGATGATGAGGATGATGTTACGGATGATGATCAGTCCCCACCAATGGGCTTCAATGCATCAAGACTTATGCACTTATTCCACACCCTCCTGTGTTGGGTTCTCGTTTTGAATCGAGCACTTTGGTCGAGTCTCCTCCGTCCTCCTCCCCCCTCCTGCCTCCTGCCTCCTACTTCCTGTCTTCTGTCTCCTCTTCCTTCTCTTCCTCCTTCCTTCTCTCCTCCGTCCTGCTTGCGTTGCAGCCCCGTTGTGACTCTGCCTCTCTCGTGTTATCCTGGAAGGGGGGGCCTCACTGTCCCCCGGGGGGCCGCGAAGTGTGAAGCTGTCGCCCGCCACTTTCGTGGGCTCTGGTAGGTCCCGCGGCGTGGAGTTGTACGGGGATCCAGTCGGAACCTCGCGGCTCCCTGGGGGGCTGCGCGAAGTGCGCACTTGTCGCCACTTTCGTGGGCTCCTGGGAGGTCGCGCGGAATGGAGTTGTACGGGGATCCAGTTGAGACCCCACAGTTACTTGGGACTTTGCGAAGTGTGAAGTTGCCGCCACTTTCGCGGGCACTTGGCAGGTACCGCTGCGTGGGGTTATACGGTGATCCAGTTGGGACCTCGCTGCTCCCTAGGGGGCTGTGAAGGGCGCAATTGTCGCCACTTTTGTGGGCTCCTGGGGAGGTCGCACGGGGTGGAGTTGTGCGGGGATCCAGTTGGGACCTCGCGGCTCCCCGGGAGGCTGCGAAGTGCGCAACGGTCGCCATGGTCGTGGGCTCCTGGGAGGTCGCGCGGCGTGGAGTTGTACGGGCGGAAGGCTCGGTTTTTTCGGTTCGTGTTCCCCCCCTTCGGGCCCCTTTTGGGGCCGTCTCGGGGCCCTCTTGGGCCGCCTGGGTGCCTCTTGGGCCATGCTGGGGCGCGCTGAGGCCGTCTTGGGGCCCCCTAGGAGGCCTCTTGGTCCGTTTTGGAGTGGCCTTGGGGGCCTCTTGGGCCGCCTTGGAGCGCAGGGAAACCGAAAAAGCGAGAACGCCCCAAACCTCCAGCAACCGAATGTAAATAAATGGTCTTGCCTTCTTGGGGCCTTCTTGGGGCCTCCTTGGGGCCGTCTCGGGGCCATCTTGCGCGCCTTGCGGCGACCCGTCGGCGACTCGGGGCCCTTTTAGACCGTCTTGGGGACATCTTGGGGCTCTCTTGGTCCGTCTTGGGGCCCTCCTGGGCCAAGGCAGCCGCGCGACAAGATGCGGCGGGGGAGCCCAGGGGGCACGCGACAAGCTTCACAAGAGGTTTCGGACATTTCTTCGGTCTGGGCCCCTGATGGGCCCCTCGGAACTGAGGACTGAGGCTACTCCAGATTTCGTAATCAAAGGGAGGGGGTCTGGACCCTCCAAGACAAGCCATTTCACACCTCCCCCGTGGGAGAGCCCTCCAAAACATCGTCCCCAGACCCCCCAGGCCCTCCAAGATGGCCTGGAAGAGCCCCCCCCCCAAATGAGACCCCCCTCCCTTTATTACGAAATCTGGAGTAAGGGGATTGGGCAAAGGACCTGAGGACACGCCCACTCCGTGCCCAGCAGCAGCCCGAGCCTCTCGGGTGGAGAGTAAGAGGAGGGAGATGACGATGAGGAGGAGGCCGAGGAGCAGGAGTGGGAAGATGATGACTATGAGGGAGGACAGTGCGAAAAAGGGGGGATCCAGGCTGCAGCGTGTACCTCGGGCCCTGAGTTATCCAAGAGGTTCTCAGCTCTGCGAGCGGCATTTCTCAGCCTATGCAAGTTTTGGTATGGTGTGTCCCCATTGAAGTTCAAGGCCAACCTTCTGCAGGGTCTTCTACTAAACGCTGCTCTTAATGGAGCCGAGGTTCTTGCTCGCCCGAAGGGTCCGCGCGTGCGGGGTGACCTTCAAGTTATATGGCGTTTCATTGCTCAGATGTGCAGCGCTGTTCTCAGCGGGGCAGCTACTTTCTCGGATGAATTAGGTCATGTTGCGCAGGTGCCATAGGACGCGATCTTCCGCAAGTTGAAATGGCGCCTTTGTTTTATTGAGCTTCGCATCGGAAGACTGAAGCGGCTGCGTACAAGAGTGGCCAATCGGGAACAGCATGCGCAGTATCTTTCAGTTTGTTTTGGGATAGAGGCTGGGATTGGGATCCCTTTGCTGAATGGGGGAGGGTACTTCCGGCAGCGCACCTGTGGGCACGGCAGTTGCAGGCTGGCGTCGATTCGCTGATTGAGACCGAGGCAGGCATCCAGCTTTTAACCGATCACGCGCGCAGCACGTCGACATTTTGTTTCGCGAGCCAGAAGACTTTGTGCGGGTCGATTTCGATGTGCTCCGTTCCGCTTTCCTGATGGCCAAAGATCAGGGACTTGAATAGCCTCGAGCAAAAATATTTGGCCTGTATGCGTGTACAGTGTTGACATATGAGGTTGCAACATGTGGGAGTCTGTGGACCAACACACATCAACTCATGTCACGCATGTGCACAAAAGAAAAGGGGGAACGCATGGGTGTGTACACGTGGGGCCGTTACCTACGATGGCAAGTACATTTCTTACATGCAGTGCAGTATTCACGGGTGTTAACAGCGCGAAGCGACATGTCTATGAGCGAACGGAGTTCGTGTCTTATATGTGAGTTCGAAGCTGTTTCGGGTGCAGTTTTGTTCGGGCCCGCCAGCATCACCTCCATGAGCTGTTACCTCAGTCTTCATATCCGCTTAGATCCTGTCGCATCTGGTGCTGCAGGGGGAGCTTCAGACGAACCCAGTCTCTCATTCAGATCATGGTGTAATGAAATCGATGTCGAAGTCGTCGGGAGGAGAAAAAAGACCCACGCCACCCTGGTTCGTACGATTTAGGAGCCAGCTTCGCAGCACCATAACTTCCGAAAGTCAGCGGAGTACGGCGAGGGTCAACCTTCAAGGGCGAGGCCGCAGCGGCGGCCGCACCCATAGACGAGGACGAGGGCGAGGCCGCAGCGGCGGCCGCACCCATAGACGAGGACGAGGTCGAGGACGACAGGACCATGGCGGGGGACCCCAAGACACTCGTGTTACAGCTCAGCTGGAGGCCAGAGTCAGGACGCTCGAGCACCAGACGATGTCCACGGCAATGATCCTTCGCACGTCGGCGATATGCAAGACGGCAGTCAATGCGTACCAGGATTTCACCAGGAAGCGGGTGGAGAAGCCAGGGGAGGATATTGGAGCCCCGAGCTTCCACGTCCTCTTCGCAATTTCCAGCGTCTTGGAGAGCTGTTCGTTCTCGGACATGTCGGGGCGACGCAAGCGGTGCGCGGGAGTTCTTCACGCGCCTGGTGATCATGCTCGAGAAAGGATTGCCTCACGACGCCGCGGATTGGGTGAGGGAGATGCTGTTCCGTCCTACGTACGGGAAGCCTGGGAGAGACGCGGAGAACCGGGTCACCCTTCACTTGGCCTGGGAGGCAGTATTACCAGACGACGAAGCGCACCAGACGACGAAGCACGACGAAACCCAAGCGCTCTTGAGGACGGCGATAACGTTGTCGGCCTGAAGCTGATGAACCCCGCCGAGCTGCCGACAGCCATGCTGACCATGAAGGGGTCACTGTCTCGATCGGGAAGGCAGTCAATGAAGAGCTATTATTCTTGTAGGTCGTGTAAATGTCTAGCAAAGCGTATCGGGGTAATATAGCACGCATAATAGGCGGGGGCAGCGAGTGAGTTTCAAAATTCGTCTTTAGTTCGTGGGCTTCTCGCACATTGTGGTCAACTGGATTCAAGCGGCGTCCGCGATTTTCTGACCTGAGCGTGCCCTCGCGCAGTGGGGCTTCCGAGTCATTCAGGTAAACATATGTGAGCTAACCGCTGCCCCACTTACAACGGCATGAGCCTGACGTTCACGTAGGAAAAGAACCGTGCCCCCCGTGCTGGCACCGCTACAAGGTGAATCAGCCACCGCGCTCGGGAGCTTCCGTGAAGGCCCGAAAAAAGAACCATGTTGTAGTATAGCAATTTCGTGACTCTCGCCAGGGCGGTCTTGCAAACGTTGCAGGACACGCCATTGCGTCCCTTTTATTGTGGTCGCTTAAGTGGTGGTGTATGACAATGACGGAGGAAGAGGACGAGAAGGAGGCGGACAATGCAACGTATCATAACGATGAGGTGTATGATGACGATTAATATCAGGATGGTTATGACGATCATGGTGATGCTGATGACGATGGTGATGGTGATGGGGATGACGATGATGATGCGGATGGTGTTGATGATGCGGAGTTTTATTGTGAAATGGTGAAAATTAAGCGCATGTTTATATCGGTGGTGTTGATGCTGCTGAAAATGACAATGCTGAGGATGACGATGGTGATGGTGATGGTGATTGTGATGCCGGTGATGATGGTGATGATGATGCTGGTTCTGTTGATGTTGACTACGATGTTGCCTGTGCTGATGATGATGGTCTCTGCAATGGTGGTGATGGTGATGATGGTGATGATGAGGATGGGCAGATGTAGGAAGAAGATGGCGACGGCGACGACGAGAATGGTGATGAAGTTGATGATGATGAAGATAATGAGTATGATGATGCAAATGGTGTTCAGTAGTGGTGATGATGGTGATGATGCTGATGCTGATGCCGATGCTGATGCGGATGCTGCTGATAATGATGAGGATGATGATGATGGTGGTGGTGACGATGATGCTGTCGCTGATGATGATGTGGAGGATGAGAATGGCGAGGGAAATCAATCATATGACGATGATGATGCTGCTGATGAGGATGATGATGATGATGATGACGACGAGGACGAGTACGAGGGCGAGGAGGAGGAAGAGGAGGATGCGGAGGAGGAGGAAGAGGAGGTGGAGGAGGAGGAGCAGGAGGCGCAGGAGGAGCAGGACGAGGACGAGGAGGAGGAGGAGGAGGAGGAGGATGACGCGGAAGTGGAGGAGGAGAGGATCGCCCGCGTGCTTCGGCGCAAGATTCCCTTGTGTTTGCCTCGCCCCGCGGCCGCCGCAGGCGGCGACAGGTGGGGCGGCGGCGGCGGGGGCGGCGGCGGCTGGAACCCGCAGGAGGTCCCCCCCGGACGCGCCGCCCGCCAGACCACCGCGCAGCTCCGAGCTCCTCGGCCTCCTCTCTGCCCTCTCGAGGAGGAGCGGGGGTAGCGATGGGCGAGGGGCGATATGATGCTGCTGATGATGATGATGGTGATGATGATGATGATGATGATGATGATGATGGTGATGATGATGGTGACGATGATGATGACGATGACGATGATGTTGATGATGATAATGAGGATGAGGATAAGGAGGGGGATGCTGATAGATGATGGCGATGTTGCTGATGCTGATGCTGGTGATGGTGGTGATGATGATGATTATGATGTTGATGATGGGGATGATGATGTTGATGATGGGATGATGATGATGATGATGATGATGATGATGATGATGATGATGATGATGATGCTGAAGATGATGATGTTGATGATGATGATGCTGATGATGATGATGCTGATGAGTATGATGCTGATGCTGATGATGATGCTGATGCTGACGCCGATGCTGATGCTGCTGATGATGATGATGATCATCATGATGGTGACGCCGATTCTGATTATGATGATGATTTTGATGGTGACGATACTCAGGACGAAAATGAGGATGTTGATGAGTATGCTGAATCTGGTTTGGATCGTGATACTGATGTTGGTGCGGATGTTGTAATTGTTGTTGATCTTCCCCTCTGGTGCCTACTGTTTTTTTCTGTTGAAGTTCCCCTCCTGGGGCTCGCACTCTGTTTTTCAGATGGGCAAGTAAGTCATGGGGCTCAGGCTGCGCCCCTGGCACCCGAACTACCAACAACAACGGCTTTCGCCTGAATGCTTCCTTACGGTTTATTCCAAATCGCCCTCTCGCGCGGGACTTCCTCACAACGTGTGCAGGAATCGCCTCTCGAGTGGGCTCCCTCGCATCTTGTTCGGGCGCCGCGCCTTCGACACTCAGGAGTCACGCTCTCGCCCTGGACTTCCCCACGATTTGCTTCGGAATCGCGCTACCGTTCGAGACTTCCTCGCGATCCGTGCAGGACTTACGCTTCAGCGACCCGTGCGCTCGAGTTGGCCGTCTGGGCCCGTCCGCCCGACCCGCCTGTGAGGTTCCGCCCGCCCGTCCCGCCCGTCTGGTGATGCCGCGGGGTTGTTTTCCTGCTCGCCCCCTTATGATATTTTTTTGTGCTCCATCCTTCTTTTTTTTTCCTCTGTCCCTTCCCTCCTCGCTCCCGCCCCCTGCTTTGGGGGCTGCGCCAGCAGCGCATGGCAGGTAAGGAGCTATCTGAAGGGGGTAAGATCGAGCACGAGGAGGACGGGTGTCAAGGATTCGGGATATACTTGTTGAGTGACACGCGATGAGCCCTCCTTGTTGGAGGGCCTCGTCTGCGAAGCCCCGCCTGAAGGCGTGAGTACCCCAAGCGGGCGCGCTACGCAACTGCAATGCGGCCGCTGCACCCCTGAAAAAGGAGCCGCCCCCGCTTCTCCCACCGAAAACAGAGCACAGACGGATGGGTGTTGCTGTTGTTGCGTGGGGAGGGGCCACGGAGCCAGGGCCGCCCCGCCGCCCTCCAACAAGCACGGCGACGAGAGTTTAACGTCCGACCCCCTCGTCCGGAATCGCGCTCTCGCTGGGGACTTCTTTGCGACTTACTCGGGAATGGCACTCGCGTTCGGGGCCTCTTTGCGATCTGAGAAACCGCCCTCTCGTTGTAGATCGCCTGTCGTTGTATTACGCTCTTGCTTGAGATTTCCTCGCGAGTTACTCAGGAATCGCACTCCCGCTCCAAACTTTCTTTGATTTCATACAGGAATCGCGCTCTCGCTCGCGAGGTCCGCGCGATTTACTGAGGAATCGAGCTCTCGCTAGAGGTTTCCTTGGGATTTACACAGGAGTCGCTCTCTCGCTCCAATCTACACTGACTTTTTAAAGGAATCGCGCTGTCGCTCGCGACTGCCGCGCGATTTACTGAGGAGTCATGCTCTCGGTTGGCATTTTCTTTCCTACAGGAATCGCGCTCTCGCTGCAGACATCCTCACGATTTACTGGGGAATCGCGCTCGCGTGAAAAGACTCCCTCGCGATTTACTCAGGAATCGCGCTTTGACTTGAGACATCCTTGCTATTTACGTGTGTATCGCGTTCGCGCTTGAGACTTCCTCTTCCCATTTCACAAAGAAATCATGCTCTCGCTAAAGATGTCTGGAGATTTGCGCAGGAATCGCGCCTTCGTTTGTTTCTTGAGATTTCCCAGGGCTCCGTGGGATTCTGGATGATTCGATTGGATTCCATGGCTTTCAAAGAGTCCGGGGAATTCATGAGGAGTTCCCAAGGATCCCCTTGGGTTCCGAACGATTCCTCAAGATTCATCAGGATTCCCATTTGGACCCTGAAGATTCTAATGGGTTCTTGAGGATTCAAAGTGATATTCTTCGGAATTACTGAGGGTCGCTGTTGATCCCTGAAGATTTTGCAGGATTTCTGCCGGTGCCTACGCAGTCCTGATGGTGGTGATGCTGATTCTGATGCTGATGGTGCTGCTGTTGATGATGGAGACGACGACGATGATGATGTTGATGCTGATAATGATGATGCTGCTGATGATGATGACGATGACGATGATGCTGATGCTGATTATAGCAGTAACATGGCAGAGTAATAACCGTGATAGCAAGAATATCAATAATGATAATATGATGACGATTATGCTGATGCTGATGCTGATGGTGATGATGTTGACGATAATGATGGTGACGATGATGATGATGATGATGATGATGATGATGATGATGATGATGATGATGATGCTGATGCTGATTATGATGGTGATGCTGATGCTGATGATGATGCTGCTGCGGATGATGATGAAGATGATGATGATGATGCTGATGCTGATGCTGATGTTGATGCTGATGCTAATTATGATGGTGATGCTGAATCTGATGATGACGCTGCTGCGGATGATGAAGATGATGATGATAATGATTATACTAGCTCTGATGATGATGATGATGAGGAGGAGGATTATGCTGCTTATGCTGATGCTCATGCTGAAGATCATGGAGATTATGATGATGCTGCCGATGCTGATCATGCTCACGATGCTGATGATGTTGGTGAAGGTGATGGTGATGATGATGATAATGATGATGATGATGATGATGATGATGATGATGATGATGATGATGATGATGATTAGGATGATTAGCCCGATGATGATGCTGATGATGATGATGATGATGACGACGGTGATGATGCTGATGGTGATGGTGATGATGATGATGATGATGACGATGATTATGATGATGATGATGATGATGATGATGATGATGATGATGATGATGATGATGATGATGATGATGATGATGATGAATGATGATGATGATGATGATGATGATGATGATGATGATGATGATGATGATGATGATGATGATGATGATGATGATGATGATGATGATGATGATGATGATGATGATGATGATGATGATGATGATGATGATGATGATGATGATGATGATGATGATGCCGATGATGTCAATCACGACGATGATATGAAGGACGCTGATGAGGATGACTGCGGTGATCATGATGACGACGATGCGGACGAGTTGGAGCAAGAGGAGGAGGAGGAGGAGGAGGAGGAGGAGGAGGAGGAGGAGGAGGAGGAGGAGGAGGAGGAGGAGGAGAAGGAAGACGATGCGGACGAGTTGGAGCAAGAAGAGGAGGAGGAGGGGGAGGAGGAGGAGGAGGAGGAGGAGGAGGAGGAGGAGGAGGAGGAGTTGGAAGAGAGGGATCAGATGACCCTCACGTGTGGTACCTCGTATCTTCAGGCTTGGAAGTGCTGCGATCATGCGAATGACGATTATGGTGATGATGATGATGATGCTGATGATGATGATGCTGATGATGCTGATGACGATGATGATGATGGGGGCACTGATGCTGATGACGATGATGATGCTGATGATGATGCTGCTGATGCTGATGATGATGCTGATGCTGATGATGGTGTGATGATGGTGCTGATGTTGATGATGATGGTCTGGTTGTGATGATGCTGATGTTGATGATGGTGGTGATGATGATGATAATGCTGATGATCGGGATGATACGTATTGCGATGCCGAGTGTGTTGATGCTGGTCATCTGATGATGGTGGTGATGGTGGTGGTACTGATGACGATGGTGATGCTGCTGCTGGTGATGATGATGATGCTGATGATGGTGGTGATGATGCTGCTGCTGATGATGCTGATGATGATGATGGTGGTGACGAGGATTGTCATGGTGGTGATGATGATGGGTGTACTGAGGATGATGTTGGGGATGATGATTGTTGTACGATGGTGGTGGTGATGATGGCGATATTTTTGTTATTGTTGATGATGGCCATGAAGATGATGCTGCTGCTGATGATGATAGTGATGATGCTGACGACGGTGACGATGACGGTGACGATTGCGATGGCGATGACGATGATGATGCTGATGATGCTGATGCTCATGCTGCTGATGATGACGACGAAGATGCTGATGCTGCTGCTGATGCTGATGCTGATGCTGATGCTGATGCTGATGCTGATGGTGATTATGACGCTGATGATGCTGCTGCTGATGATGATGCTGATGATGATGATGAAGCTGCTGCTGAGGATGATGCTGTTGATGTTGTTGATGCTGATGGCGATAGTGCTGATGTTGATGCTGATGCTGCTGCTGATGATGATGATGATGATGATGAGATGATGATGATGCTGATGCTGATGCTGATGCCGCTGCTGATGATGCTGATGATGATAATATTGATGTTGTTGTTGTTGTTGATGATGATGATGATGATGATGATGCTGATGATGATGATGATGATGATGATGATGATGATGCGGATGATGATGATGATGCTGATGCTGATGCTGCTGCTGCTGCTGCTGCTGATGATGATGATGATGATGATGATGATGATGATGATGATGATGACGAGGATGGTCAAGTCGATGAGGAAGATGAGGATAAACAGGAACATGCGGATGTGGAAGTGGAATGTCGTCTCACGGGACAGTGCGCCCCGTGAGACAGCGCCAGGGGGGGGTCCCCCTGACTAACCCCCCTGGACCTCCCACTGGAGGCTGACCGGGGGAGCGACATGACGCAGCACTCCCCGGCGAAACTCCCGGGGCATCGGGAGGCGGCGAGACGAGTGTGGTGGTGGAGGTGCCGATGCCCTACGGTCCGCGTGCTGCTTGCCAAGCGCGATTACCATGGACGGGCGCGCCATGAGAGGAGGAGCAGGAAGAGGAGGAGGAGGAAGAGGAGGAGGAGGAGGAAGAGGAGGAGGAGGAGGAGGAGGAAGAGGAGGAAAGAGTGAGGAGAGAGGGAGGGGGAGGAGGGAAGGAGGAGGGAGGAGGAGGAGGAGGAGGAGGAGGAGGAGGAGGAGGAGGAGGAGGAGGAGGAGGAGGAGGAGGAGGAGGAGGAGTGGGACGGGCGCGCCGGTGGAGTTGGCGGTGTGTGGTCGTCGGGTGCAGGACGCGCGCCAGGGCCCACCGCTCCCCGCATGCGGAGATCGACGGCTTAGTGTTAAGTCGGGCATGTCCCCCTACAGGGGGATCTTCGACGAAACATCTAAAATACCCCAAACATAGTCAAAACATAGTCCAAAAATAGTCAGGGGACTATTTTTTGAGTATTTTTTCGCCTTTTTGGGGTATTTTTGGGGCATTTCTAATTTTTCGTCGAAAATCCCCCCTGTAGGGGGACACGCCCGACATAAACGTAGTGCCGTGCGCCTGTGAGGTCCTGGTCGACGACGGGTTGCTGATGGAACCAATGCTGGGCGCACGGCCATGGCTGTCAGCCTGGACCTTCGACGCGATGAGCAGGTAGATTCTGGGGGAGGAGTCGATCAACCTGGGCAAGCTGGCGGAGGAGGAGGAGGAGTTCTCGACGGAGAAGTTGATCCGGGGCTTGCGCTTCCAGCCTGAGGACGAGAAGGGTGGCTTCGTGGACAGAGTCACCCTCTCAGGGGCGAAGATCCAGAAGATGGGCCACCTGCTGCAGGGTGAGGAGTTGGCGCCAGGGTGTCGCCGCGTGAGGCTGCGGACGGCGCAGCAGCTGAAGGCCTGGGGACCCACTCCGCGGCGACCCACTCGGCCCTGGGGACGGACATCGGGTCGGTCGTCCCTTTGCTGGCACAGCCCGATGGTCCGATCGAGAGGGCCAAGCCAAGAGGCACAGTGGAGGAGTAGGAGGTCGCCTGGCAGGAGCTCTGATACCCTGGACGTCCTGAGGGTCCTGGCCTCCCGCCCTGAGGCGTGGGGGAGAGCGTTTATCTTTTTGTTCGCGCACATGCTGGAGCCCAGAGAGAGACTGGCCGTCCCAGGCGCCATGAAGCGGGTGGTCTGGGAGGAGATGCGACACACCATCGCAGGCCAGATCGACTGGGAGGTCAGGTTTTGCACGCGGCAGGAGGTGGCACCCTATCTGCAGGCCCTCCAGAAGGTGGCTGATGCGGAGGAAGAGTGGACCACCAGCGTTGGCCGAGCTGTTCTGCGTGGTGGGCTTCGCGGCAGAGGGGGGCAAAGAGTGGAAGGATCGCCTGGTTATCTACGTTGTGGACAGCCAGACGGTGCAGAGCTGGGTGGAGAAGCGGATGGGCCGTAACCAGCTGGGCCGACACCAGATACGGTTCCTGGACTATTTAAAGGCCAAGGTGCACTTCACGATCCTGGGCTCCCCCTGCATCTGGACGAGCAGCAACTAGATGGCCCACATGCTTACGCGAGCCACGGAGGAGGAGGAAGAGGAGGAGGAAGAGGAGGAGGAGGAGGAGGAGGAGGAGGAGGGGGAGGAGGAGGAGGAGGAGGAGGAGGAAGAGGCCAGGATGGAGCGGGAAAGGGTTCCACAAGGTCGAGATTGCGCAGATGTGGAGGAGTGTACTGAATGGGCGCAGGTTCACGCCGTCGCGTTGGTGGACGCCGAGGAGTGGCAGGTCGCCAGGAGGCGTGGGGGGCCGCCCCGAGGCAGCTGGGCTTCAGTGGGTGGTGTATCGTAGAACTGGGCGGGACCCTCCAGCCGTGCACCGCCGCTGCGTCAGCGCTCGGCGCCGAAGCGGTCGCGTGCCCAGCCGATGGATGATTGTCGCGAGGTGCTACCGAACCGACCTTGCAGGTGGGTGGCAAGGTGATTGGAATGTCCTCGCTGGGCCTGCCAGAGGGGGCGCGCAGGCTGCAGGAGCGTGGGCGCTGCCTTGCAACGTTCGGAGTCTCGTGGGTGTTGCTGGGCGCGCCGTCGGGCCAGAGGGTGTTGGAGACCCTGCAGTCCCCGAGGAGAGGAGGGCGGCAGGCCCAGGAGGACAGCGTGATGTGCGCGGAGGCGGGCGACCCTGTGGCGCAGCGCTGGACGTGGGCGCTTGCGACCCAGGAGGGCCGGCGGCCTGCCAGGGGGTTGCTGGGGCGAGGGGCTGAGGTGCCTCCCCCCCTTGCCGTTGGCCGCGGGGGTGCTGAAGGCCCAGAGGGTCTCTGAAAGGGAGTGGTGCGCACAGGCTGGTGGCGTGCTGGTGGTGGGCCCACGCGCCGCCGCTCGGAAGCGCGAGGGCTGAGCGGTCCACCCCGCTTGCTGCTCGAGGTGGTGGGCCATTGGTATCCCCGGGGGGCGGAGGGGCGAGGGTCCAGGTCTGCAGCGCGAGCGGATCTTCGCCTGCGCCCCGCTTGGGGGGGAGGGGCGGCCAGAGGTGCAGCTCGTGCTGGGCGCGAAGGGCCCTCCCCCGCCGGGTGTGCGAGGGTTGCCGGCTAAGGAGGCCTGGATGCTGCGCGGCGGCGTGGGGGGGGCATTGGAGGGGCCAGGTCGAGGTGATGGGCGCCCTCGACGCTCTGAGGGGGGCGCAGAGGGCCCCTCCCCCGAGGGCGGCGTCGGAGGCGTTGGTGGCTGCTCTCATGCAGGCCGACCTGGATCACCTAGCAGAAGGAGGGGGACCGCGTGGCGCTGGGATCTGCCGCTGGTCAGAGGAGGAGAAAGAGGAGGAGGATGAGGCGGAGGAGGAGGAGGAGGCGGAGGAGGAGGAGGAGGGGGGGTAGGGGGAGAAGGGGGAGGAGGAGGAGGATGAGGAGGAAGAGGAGGAGGGCCAGGAGGAAGAGGAGGAGGAGGAGGAGGAGGAGGACCAGTGGAAGCCCCAGGCTCATCAACGATATTGCAATAGACCCTCCCTCCCAAGTTCCCTCCTGATAGGCCCCCATGCAAGGATTCAGTTTCACTGAGGGAAGTCCCCCCGTTGGAAGGGGACCGCTTGAAAATTCGGAAGTGTGCCGGAACGCCATGCCTGGGACTTCAATGCCGCGAGTTACCGGTACTGTTGCGTCTTGGCGATCTTGCATCGTGCCAGATCACCATTCCTGGAACTTCAACACCGCGGGTCCACGTGACTGTCGCGCCCTGGCATTCCGACATCGTGCCAAAACTCCGCTTCTGGGACGTCAGCCATGAGAATTTTTTACTCGGTTGGAGACTGTTACGATGAATGTGCGCGCCGCTATGACGAGAACCACATTTTGAGAAGGCGACATCTTCCATTTTGAAGCCGAATCTGTGCGGCGTTAAGGCGAGAGCCACATTTTGAGAGCGGGATGCCCTACATCCGTTACACTTTGAAGCACTTGCAATGTTTGCGCACGAGTGTGCGCGGCGCTCAGGCAAGGGCCACATTTTGAGAGTGGGCC